CCCGGAGTCAGCATAACATTTTATAGAAGCCAGACGCTGAATCGGCAGACGGAAACTGATAAGCTCAACTCGGGCTGTCAACATGTTGTTCTCTTAGCCTTTGTAAATTAGTTCATAGTTAGTCTTAAGCTGGCAGTTGGAACGAATAAACGTCTCCATTAAAAATAAATTGTATTTTTAAAAGATCCTTCGACTCGCCCACGTCTTGACCAGATACTGTACGCTCATACTTGCATCAAACAAAATCTGATCCCACGGCAGCGCGAACGGGACGGCGAGACCCGCGTCTAGGGATGCAAAGTCTTTTGAAATATCGATATTTATATCGAAGTCAGGAAAATATCGATATCCTATATATCGACCATTTTATCTCGATATAATCGTTATTTTTTCCTTTTTATTTTTGATTGACATTGGAATACGGGGTGAGTGTGACACATTCATATGTTTGTTGGCGAGTTTCTCGCAAAATGCATTGAGCCAGCTTTTTTGTTAAACACGCTTGATGAAATCGCGCCAAGCAGGATTTTTTTTATTGGCTCGCACGGTTTGTGTTTTAGCCACGACAGGAATCCAAAAAAATAAAATTATTATCCTGATCAGATTACTCACATCCGTTAGCACGAATGCGCGAACCCGCATATGTAAGACAACATTTGCGAATGCCTTCGCTAAGTTTTCACTACATTCGTGCTTTTCCAAGCTATGTCGGTTTTTTAGCGCACATCACATACGCAAATTGCCTAGTCTCCCACACATCAGGGGCGTGCCCATGGCTTCAGAATAGGCTAAGCCCAAAGCTTCCAAAATTACTATACCTATCTTACTTTTTTGACTTGGCGAGCTTAAAAAATTTACGATTTGTATAAGATTCTTAATTTTATTTTGTGTTATATTACAATGACATTAAATTTCAATTAATCAGTAGTTGAACATTATCTTGAAAAAGAGGCAAGGATTTTATTTAAGTGCATGAGTTACCATTAGGTATACGATTATACCTATATACATTGGTGTCGATTCTGGCATGATTATCTAAACTTAAAACTAAATTTAACATCAGTCTCTCCTTTTCATTCTGTATAAAGAATGACAAGGATACACTTTTGTCAAATTAATTTTAGGTTTAGAGAATCTTGCCAGAGTCCACACCAGTTTAGTATATTTCTTGGGGTTCAAGACTTTGTTAATACATCTATAAGCTCTTGCGATTTCAAAGCAATAGTTATTTCGATATTATTCAATTTAGATAGTCATAGCAGGTAAATTAATTGATATTATTGTGTTCAAATTTAATCTACGAAATATCGATATTTTGGAATTTCCGATATCGATATTATCAATATCAGTGAATTTTAAATATAGATATTTTGGTCTCGATATTATCGATATTCCGATATATCGTTGCAACCCTACCCGCGTCACTGCATTACCGACCCGAACGAAACAGCACGTTAAGTTTCAACGGCAGCGCGAACGAGACGGTGAGATCCGCGTCACTGCACTACCGACCAATCAGGCGACCAGTTCTCGACGTCACTACCGAATAAGATTCAAAGTATCTCTAACTAGTCTGTGGATTCAAAACAAACAGCAATTTTTATGAAAAAATATATTTTATAGTATTAACGAATAAAAAGTGATGCCGTGGGTTTTATTTTTAGCTCTTGAGCAATTTGAGCACTTTTAAAAACATGCTTAGGCATTGTTTTATCATATAAACACAAAATATTGTCAATATTTCTTTTTGGCGATGTACGTCGTTTGCATGTCAAGTTGTGAATAAAGCGATTAGGGTCGTGGACCACAATTTGTGCGGATCACTTTTGCGAGGCTAGTGCCGTATCTACCCTTTTTGTTTTAATCTAAGGTTTAAATAGACCTTCTACACGGTCTTTTTATTACGTACTTATAGACGGAACAGTAATGAGGTTGACTATGCAAATACCACGGACCTGACGTGGCAAATACCTACCGGAAAATAACTTTGTCAAAACTAAAAAAGACGTAAAGTAGCAACTATTCATACAAAGTAAATAAAAATCTGTATAACTAATTATCAATCCATATTTATTTTATATGTATGTAGGTAATCTATCAAGATTTATATCATTATTCATCCCGCCGCCAGGGGGCCAATCGCCTAACGGAAATGCTTTGGAAAACGCTAACGCTTATGATTTTATTTTGTTATTTCTAGCCGCCTGAGGTATTGGAATGCCTCGCACTCTTTCTTTTTCTTTTGCATTGGTAATAACAATATTAAAAAAAATGAGCGTGAGGTATTCGAAAACCTCAAGCGGCTAGAAATAACAATATACACACATCAAAAGTGTCTAGGGATCAAGCATTTTTATGCGGATTTCTTGAGATTGAGATGTGGCTTTGTAATAAATTTATGATTTTATAAATTTATATGGATCCTTTTTGGTGCATTTCATAATTTGAATCAGGAACTGTGAATCAAATTCGAGTAAAAGATGAAAATCAGCTGTCAATATTTTCCCTATAAAAACATACAACGCATTGAAGACATTATTAGTGCTACTGTTTCCCTACTACTGATTAAAACCAACGTTATTATGGAGCGGCGACGTCATTTAAGCAGGGAAGAAATGCTCAGAGCCGTGGGAATGATAGAAGCTGGTTCCCGGCAACGTACTGTGGCTTTAGCTCTGAATACAAGTCAGAGTGTTATCAGTCGACTTTGGACACGATACCGAAGCACTGGTACCGTGGCTGAGCGCCATGGAGGACGGTATCGCTGCACCACACGGAGACAAGACCGATACATTCAAATCTTAACTCGAAGAGCTCCAACAATAACCGCCATGATGTTAGCCGTGAGGCTTCATCACTCTTCAGGGAACTTAATTAGCGACCAAACAGTCAGAAACCGCTTGCATGAAGTGAACCTTCATTCCCGAAGACCGCTACGGGTACCACCTATAGCAATGCACAATCGTAGGATTCGATATCAATGGGCTCTTGAACACAGAAATTGGGCAGAAGAACAATGGCGTTTCGTGTGCTTTTCTGATGAGTCTCGTTTTGGTATGAGACCGGATACAAGACGTATACGACACTGGAGAACCCCTGGACGCCAACAGCGATTAAAATCCTGCCAGGAAGTCCATCCTTATAGTGGTGGAACCATCATGGTATGGGCGGGTATTTGGATCGGCGGAAGAACTGAGTTGATTTGGATCAGAGGCAACCTCAACGCTCAAATTTATGCTGAGACGATTGTATCAGACGTCATCGTTCCTCTACAAGTGCAAATCGGTCCCTTATTTCAGTTAATGCATGATAATGCACGACCGCACACCGCAAGAGTTGTAAGACAGACTCTCGCCGCAGCTAACATCAATGTCCTGCCCTGGCCTGCTCAGTCGCCAGACTTGAACCCGATTGAGCATGCATGGGATATGCTACAGAGAAGAGCTCTGCCGAATATGGAGGGTATCCAGTCGCAAGAAGACCTTTTTTTGTTGTTGCAACGAACATGGGCGGCCATTCCACAGCGTGATTTGGATGAACTCATTTTGAGTATGCCAAACCGATGTTCTTGTGTTGTTAGTGTTCGCGGTAGAAATACGGATTATTAATTGTTTAAGTTACCCAATAAAATTTTAGAGAAAACTGTTATTTCAGTCTTTTTTTCGAACTTTTGTGTTAGTGGTTCAAATGTCAAAAATCCCTTTATTAGGAAAATGGCAAATTTCTTTATTAATGCAAAGGTGACTTTGTTTATCGTTACTGTGACAAACGAAAACACTTTATTTGATGAATCCTTAAAGAAAATTTTAATTAATATCAATCAGGAGAAAAGTTATTGCAAAAATATATGTTGATCCCTAGACACTTTTATTGTGTGTAAAATCGTAAGCGTTAGCGTTTCCCAAAGCATTTCCGTTAGGCGATTGGCCCCCTGGTCATTAATGTCGAAGACAAGTCTTCGCAGTATCCCGTCAGTGTCATTTCTTCATCTTTGAGTGATATACAATATTTAGGTAGAATTTAAAAAAACAAATCAACTAAAGTAGTTTCCGGGAGACCAATGCAACGGAGTGTACACTTTAAATCTTTAACCTGAAATCACGGACCTGAAAAAAAGACGGACGTAATATCAAAGGCAAATCATGTGAAGCATGCAAGGTCAGACAAAATCGTGTGTTGTACACTACCTACACTCACACTAATGCACCAGGTCAGACAATCCGCTGCCATTTGACCCCGCGTGACAGCGCCAGTCACACGTATTTTTTTTTAAAAATGCCGTCTTGTGTGGTGAAATCTTGTAAAAACTATACGAGTAAATTTTAAAAGTCACAAGGAATCACCTACCATGCTTAAGTATTGACAATTCTTGATAATTTTTCTATATTATATTTTATTTACAAGGATGAAAATTGTAAACAAAAATACAACTGTGTGGCTACTTTATTTACGGGAAATTTTCCCTAAAAGTAGGGAATTTTGTATTTCTTGCATTTGTGACTAGGCAAGATCAGATTTCGTAACTTTTTAGGGTTCCGTATCCCAAAAGGAAAAGAATAGAAGCCATATTATTCATAGAATATTTTATATAAATTATTGTCTTGCCTCCCTAGAAATACTCAAAAGGCAATACATATATAGTTTACTTGATATAATAAAGACCTTTGTGGACAAAAGACAACATGTATGTGCCATTTTTATGGACATGACCTGTGCTTTTGACAACGTTGATCATGTTACTATTGGCCAAACTCTATGCTTATGAGATAAAATCCCAACCCCGAGCACACACTGCAAGACCATCAGATACTATTAATTCTTTTTGTTTGCATAATTTAACATAAGAAGGAGATAGAAAGCCTCTCTTGAGTTTGTTTCGCCGGTTCTTCTCAGGAAGGTCTCCCAATTTTGGAACCGGTGGTAGTTTACGGTAGTTAGGGCAAATAAATAAACTCAAAATTACAAACAAGAATTTTAAATAAAATACTTTATTAAGTAAATTAAATAATAAATTCATACATAGACAATAAAACTTAAAAATCGAACAATGAAATAATCAAACGCTCAATAAGTCTTTCGAAGGTAGCTCGACAAATAAAATAAAAGTTTTATTCTGACGACGAAGCCTGTAAAGGCTACGAAACGTCAATAAATAAATAAAGATTCGTGCATTAACCCGTAAAAACTAGTTTTATTTAATAGATTCGTATTTGAGTAACAGGAAACAATACACTGTTATAACTAGATTCTGCAAAAAAACCAAAATTATTAGGGAATTTATGTCTCTATGTAGAGATGTAGAGGCTGGTGTGCCTCAAGGTAGTATATTAGGACCTTTGTTCTTTAATGCATTTATAAATGACTTTCCAAATTCTATTGACCATCCCATGATTTTATTTGCTGACGACAGTACTGCTGTGATTCAATGTAATAATGAACAAGACTATGAAAATGACATTAATAATGCTATGGAAAAACTTAACAATTGGATAGTCCAAAATAACTTGTGCCTGAATAGTAAAAAAACGAAAGTAATACATTTCAGGCAAAAGATTGAAATACCCTCAGTAGCTTTAAAGTGCAATGGTGAGGAAATTGAATCTGTTTCTGAAACGAATTTTTTAGGTCTGCATATGGATTATCAGGTTAATTGGAAATCTCACACTGAGAAATTATGTAAGAGAGTGAGTAGTTCAATTTACGCTCTATACAAACTCTCCAAGGTATCTAATAGGGACACTGTTTTGACTACATACCGAGGTTATGTTGAATGTATCTTACGGTATGGAATAATTTTCTGGGGAAGTTCTGTGAATAAAACTCTTTTATTCAAACATCAAAAAAGGTGTATAAGAGCGATAAATTGCAAATCGACGGATAGCTGCAAACCATTTTTCATAAGCATGAACATCCTGACTCTGCCTTCGCTGTACATTTATGAAGTGGCTGTTTTTGTATTATGTAACAATTCTCTGTTTCCGACACTCTCAGAAAGGAACCCTGAAAGAAATCATCGCCAATCAAACCGTACACGTTAGTAGTAGCTTCTTTGGGATGGCTCAAAGGATATTCAACAAGGTTCCGAGTTGTCTTAAATCACTACCGATAAAGACTTTTAAGAAGCGTCTGTTAGCATTATTAGTTGAAAAAGCCTACTATACAGTTGAGGATTTTTTAAATGACAAATCTTGTAATTAAATCGGACATGCCTTTTATAAAAGCAGTTCTCTATTAAAAAATTTTGACATATTAAAATTGTCAATCCAGTTAAGAAATGTGTATTAATTGCTATTTTGGACATTTTGCTTATTTTTCTATTAAAATTTTGACTATTAGTATGACAACTTTATGGCTTATCTTTATAATTAATTTATAATCTACTTTGACATGCATGTAACAATAGACAATTTCAAATTATATTCATAAATTGTGATTCCAATGTAAAAATAATAGTACTTCTTTCATAGGTCCATATCTATTTGTATACCTTAATTAAGGTGGAAATGTAGTGATACTAACAAAAACTTTATATACCACGTATACTAACCTATGTTTCACAAATAAAATTCTGATCCTGATTCTCCTTTCTAATAGATTTCCTAGAAATAGAAACCGTAGAGATAACTGGGTTTTAATTATTCGATACTGCAAAGGGGATAACAATTGGAACCCATCACCTTCCAGTACTATGTGCAGTGCACACGTTGTTTGGTTTTCGTTCAAACCGGAGCCTGTAAAGAATCCGAAACGGCGGAAAATGTATAAAAATATTAAAACTAGCGGCCCGCCCTCACTTCGCTTCAGTGTAGAGCTGAAGTGTTGTATTATACACAATGACATTCGTCTATGATTCTTCTTATATCTGCATGCAAAGTCTCAGCCCGATCGGTTTAAAATTGGCAAAGTTTCATACAAACTTTCATTCCCTATTTTATCCCCTTGGGGGTAGAATTGATCAAAATCCTTTCTTAGCAGATACCTACGTCATAACATTTACCTGCATGCCAAATTTCAGCCCGATCCGTCCAGTGGTTTGGGCTGTGCATTGATAGATCACTATGTCAGTCAGTAAGCCACCTTTGAGTTTTATATATATAGATACAGTTGAAACCCGTTAACAGAACTACTATACAAATAAACTTTTGAAACTAAATTACGACAACCAAAATTATTACAAAATGAATTACAGGCAGGACTTGAACCTGCATTTTCTGCTGTCTGGGTGGATGCACTAATTGCTATGCTATCGAGACCTAAATGATCGTGACGAATTTCTTCTAGTATTTCTAAGGCTGCACGGTAGTGCCATTTCTTCGCATTGTAGGTAAACCACAATGTCGAATGAAACCATAGATATAGGATGTAAAGATAGACATAGTACCTATCGCTACTGTTCCAAAAAAATATCTGTGCATGTGTGCCTATCGGTGTATGATTTTGAGAGATAGTATCGATTTATCAAGATATGCTTAAAACACAGGATACCATAACACATACTTATTCAGTTTGTAATAAGTACAATCGTGTTGTGTTATATGCATTATTGTTTTCTTAATTTCACAGAATTTCATAATAAATTTTATCTCAGTACGACTTGACAGGGCGCTGCGGCTCTTGCTAAAAATATATTATTGAACCAAAGGTACATCATGTTGCGTCTCTTTCTACCTTATAGGATTGGATGATATCTCTTTTCCTCACTCTGTCAATCTTTAAATACCTACTCAATCTATGAATGAAATACTTACATTTAAAAGAAGAAATAGCAATATTAGTCTATTATATTTTTATTTTAAGCATTAATCTGCGCGATTTATGTATATTAATGTATGTTATTAACCTCATACTTAATATTAAGACACTAACATTTATATGTAAACAATAAAGTTCTTTATACATAACAAGTGCTTTCTTTTCTGTCTCGGTGTTCTTAAAAAATAATTTGATAGACCTACATCATGTTTCTGAAGTGCAACCGTTTAAATTGCTGAAAAATCGGGAGCTCACAACGAGTAAAACACGTGGTAAATATCTCGTTATTATAATATATATTTGATTACATAATGTTAACAATGTTTTAGTTTGGGAGATTTAAAAAGTAGGGAAATTGATGATGATTTACCCGACAACCCTCAAATCACGCACACGCTGTAAGCGGGCGGCCATTTGCATGCTTGAGATAAGACGAGGTTACGACCACTGTGAAGTTAGGACCCCACTTTTTAATTTTATTATTATCTAGGTTGTTCTGTTTGTTCTACATTGTTCCAAAGTATTATTTGAAAAAACTCAAATTTGAAGCTGCCAGACAAAAAAACCGTTTACTATGGTAGCCCCCATGTATGGAAATTCAATATTTTTTTTAGTTATTCCAAGTTGTTCATAACATTGTTCCCCAGTTTTATTTGAAAAAACTAAAATTTGAAGCTGTCAGACAAAAAAAAACTTTTTTATGGTAGCCGCCCATGTTTGAAAATTCATTATTTTTTTAGTTGTTCCAAGTTGTTCTAGTTGTTCCTAACATTGTTCCAAAGTATTATTTGAAAACACTCTTTGAAGCTGTCAGACAAAAAAAAATCGTTTTTCAGATAGCCCCCCAAATCAAATCGTAATCAATCAAATCAATCAACAACAATTTTAAACAATGACGATTGTATCAGTACAACCGTGTACTGATACAATCGTCAACCAGTACAATCGTTCCAATTTCATTAAGTCAACCAGTACAATCGTTCCAATTTCATTTAATCATTTTGAATAAAATTAATAGTTATAAGACAGGAAAACATTACACTATCTAAATGAGTTATTACACAATACACGTAACAGTATCAAAGAAAATAGCTCAATCTTTATTTAGTTATTTATGAAAAACCGCTTAAAACATGAATTTTTATCACGCAAAATCACAATCTTTGATCATTATTAACTCGAAAGTATTGATTTATTCCGAAAACATAAAATAACAAATTTTGCTTAGAATTTGTCTTTCTATCGATTCCTGGAGTTATTTTTATTAAAATAATTTTTACCCCCGAGAAGGGGTGGTATCTACCCCCAGGGCAGAAGCGCAAGTTGGCACTATGTCACTTTTGTTTCTTAAGGTATCTCCCACCAATTTTCATGAAAATGGATGGAGATTCAACGAAATCGGAGGTGAAAACCTTCATTGACTGGACTATAACATCTAATTGTATGTGATTGAATGGTTATAAATAGACATTGTGCAGAAATTCCTATCATTGGCACAAAAATTCTCAATATTGGCATCTATTCGTCTAATTGTTGGCATTGGTTGAAAGTAGGGAATAGAGACCTACGTAGTACCTATCATAATAAAAAAAAGATATACTTATTTACTTTCGTTAAAATTCGCACGCAGATGTTTAAGACTGCTGGATGTTTTGTTGTTAATTAGTTGCTGAAAAATAGCGTTGCTTATAATATTTGATTATCAACCCTTAACTCCAGATCATCCCTGCAACCACCCCAGAATAGGACGATATCGGAAAATTCTCGTAGGTGGAAAATAGACGCGGCATATTTAGTTGCTCGTCAAAAACGCAGATAAGAGTATTCTACTAACATCCCCTAACCTCAGATGCAACCCCTCTACTCACTTAGAAACAGTAGATGGTTGGAATTCGCACGCGGATGTTTAAAACTGCTGGATGTTCTGTTGCTAATTAGTTGCTCGCCAAAAACGCAGATAAGAGTATCCTACAATCATCCCCTAACCTCAGATCCATCCCCTCTACTCACTTAAAAATAGTAGATGGTTCGAATTCAAACGCAGATGTTTAGAACTGCTGGATATTTTGTTGCTAATTAGTTGCTGCGAAAAAGCGTTGCTTATAGTATTTAACTATCAACCCTTAACTCCAGATTAGCACTGCAACCACCCCAGAATAGGACGATATCGGAGAATTCTCGTAGGTGGAAAAAAGACGCGGGATATTTAGTTGCTAATTAGTTGCTCGCCAAAAACGCAGTTAAGAGTATTCTACAATCATCCCCTAACCTTAGATCCAACCCCTCTACTCACTTAGAAACAGTAGATGGTTGGAATTCGCACGCAGATGTTTAAAACTGCTGGATATTTTGTTGCTAATTAGTTGCAGAAAAATAGCGTTGCTTATAATATTTGATTATCAACCCTTAACTCCATGGGTACAAAAAATGCGGGATATTTTTCTACAATCGTCTCTTCACCTCAGATCGACCATCATTTTCCCTTTACAATAAAAAATCGGCTAGAATACGCTCGTAGATGTATATTACTGCAGAATATCGTATTGCTATTTAGCAACTAAATGTCCCGCCGCTTTTTTCCACCTACGAGAATTTTCCGATATCGTCCTATTCTGGGGTGGTTGCAGTGCTGATCTGGAGTTAAGGGTTGATAATCAAATACTATAAGCAACGCTATTTTGCAGCAACTAATTAGCAATAAAATATCCAGCAGTTTTAAACATCTGCGTGTGAATTCGAACCATCTACTATTTTTTAGTGAGTAGAGGGGTGGATCTGAGGTTAGGGGATGATTGTAGGATACTCTTATCTGCGTTTTTGGCGAGCAACTAATTAGCAACAGAACATCCAGCAGTTTTAAACATCCGCGTGCGAATTCCAACCATCTACTGTTTCTAAGTGAGTAGAGGGGTTGGATCTGAGGTTAGGGGATGATTGTAGAATACTCTTAACTGCGTTTTTGGCGAGCAACTAATTAGCAACTAAATATGCCGCGTCTATTTTCCACCTACGAGAATTTTCCGATATCGTCCTATTCTGAAGTGGTAGCAGTGCTGATTTGGAGTTAAGGGTTGATAGTTAAATACTATAAGCAACGCTATTTTGCAGCAACTAATTAGCAACAAAATATCCAGCAGTTTTAAACATCTGCGTGTGAATTCGAACCATCTACTATTTTTTAGTGAGTAGAGGGGTGGATCTGAGGTTAGGGGATGATTGTAGGATACTCTTATCTGCGTTTTTGGCGAGCAACTAATTAGCAACAGAACATCCAGCAGTTTTAAACATCCGCGTGCGAATTCCAACCATCTACTGTTTCTAAGTGAGTAGAGGGGTTGGATCTGAGGTTAGGGGATGATTGTAGAATACTCTTAACTGCGTTTTTGGCGAGCAACTAATTAGCAACTAAATATGCCGCGTCTATTTTCCACCTACGAGAATTTTCCGATATCGTCCTATTCTGAAGTGGTAGCAGTGCTGATTTGGAGTTAAGGGTTGATAGTTAAATACTATAAGCAACGCTATTTTGCAGCAACTAATTAGCAACAAAATATCCAGCAGTTTTAAACATCTGCGTGTGAATTCGAACCATCTACTATTTTTTAGTGAGTAGAGGGGGTGGATCTGAGGTTAGGGGATGATTGTAGGATACTCTTATCTGCGTTTTTGGCGAGCAACTAATTAGCAACAGAACATCCAGCAGTTTTAAACATCTGCGTGCGAATTTTAACCATCTACTGTTTTTAAGTGAGTAGAGGGGTTGCATCTAAGGTTAGGGGATGTTTGTAGAATACTCTTATCTGCATTTTTGACGAGCAACTAATTAGCAACTAAATTTGCCGCGTCTTTTTTCCACCTACGAGAATTTTCCGATATCGTCCTATTCTGGGGTGGTTGCAGGGATGATCTGGAGTTAAGGGTTGATACTCTTATCTGCGTTTTTGGCGAGCAACTAATTAGCAACAGAACATCCAGCAGTTTTAAACATCCGCGTGCGAATTCCAACCATCTACTGTTTCTAAGTGAGTAGAGGGGTTGGATCTAAGGTTAGGGGATGATTGTAGAATACTCTTAACTGCGTTTTTGGCGAGCAACTAATTAGCAACTAAATATCCCGCGTCTTTTTCCACCTACGAGAATTTTCCGATATCTTCCTATTCTGGGGTGGTTGCAGTGCTGATCTGGAGTTAAGGGTTGATAGTTAAATACTATAAGCAACGCTATTTTGCAGCAACTAATTAGCAACAAAATACGCCGTAGTTTATATTCTCTGATGAGCTCTTTTTAATTTTATCGTATTTCGGGGGTAGTGTGGGTGCTGGTGCGGCAATTAAGGGGTGATAGGGGGATAAAACAAATAATGCTGTCCTACAGCAACTAATTAGCAACTAAATATGCCGTTTGCAGAACTTCGATATCTTTACGAGAACCGAAGATATAGTATTGTGGTCTGCTAGGTTAAGACTTAAGCTAGCAGATCGCATGTATCTTTTACAGGTGTTGAGCAACTAAATCGGGAATAGTATAACTAATTAGCAACTAATTAGCAACTAAATATGCCGTTTGCAGAACTTCGATATCTTTACGAGAACCGAAGATACAGTATTGTGGTCTGCTAGGTTAAGACTTAAGCTAGCAGATCGCATGTATCTTTTACAGGTGTTGAGCAACTAAATCGGGAATAGTGTAACTAATTAGCAACTAAATACCCAGTAGGTTAGATGTGCGCGTTGCGACCATGGTCTGCTAGCTTAATATACGTTTGTATCGCTGCGAACGTTGGTAGTTCCAAATATACGTGTATCTCCAAGAATATCTGCCAGATTAATTTGAAATTTTCAGAAAATATACTCAAATGTATGTACATTTCGAAAATGCAATGAAAAAATATTTTATTTTACCTTTTAATGCGTACAACCCCATAAGTCCTATCGCTTTTATGCCGTCGATCCACTGAGCGGTGGCACCTGTTTTAATGATTCGTTTGAAAACATGCCGGCAATCATATTGCGAATAACGCGAATTCAACTATTTAGAATAGAAAATAAAATTTAAATGAGAAGTTAGGAACTCTTTAGTGAAATCAAATTATTGCGAAGTTTACGAATACGTTGATCTCATTGTTCCCAAATCTATCCACAGCACTTTGAACTTCACCTCACATTGCTAGTCAGTTCTTTCCTCCTACACATTGATAAAAGAAACAAGAGGATAGCAACCATGATGAACGTAATAAGAGTTGAAAATGAATGTGACTTACTTCCATTCCTTCTCTTTTATATCACCGAGAATATAATTTATATGACATATTATCAGAGTGCCTAGCTAAACATAATATAAAACTATAAATAGTATAAGATGAATAAAAACTATCTATTTAATGTTGTGTATGTATAATTTCCTGATCCTATTCCTTTATATTAAATATTTTGTATCCTATTTTTATGGTTTCCTCACCTTTTACCCTGTCGTGGCTGATGCACATACTGTGCCTTTTATATAAAAAAAAACTGATGCTGCTGAATGATTTATTCAACTAAACGTAAATCTTAGAACTATGGTATCAAAAATAGCCTTCGATTATATTTTCTTGTTGGAGTTGTCTTTTTCTTTCGATACCAGTTGTTCTTTAATTATTTCCGTAATGGGTCCATTATAGAAGTTTTTTACTTTTGATGATTTTATTGATAGTAAATTAGCATGTTCTTCCCAAAACTTGTCTTTCAACATATCACAATGAGTATCGACTATTATAGAATATGATTTCTCATTACTGGCATCTGGTAAAGTTTTTCGTATTAACAATGTTCCTCTTTTAAAAATTTCAGGTTCATTATTGTAATTGATGTTAAATTCTTTGAACAATATTTCATTCTTATCAGCTGACACGGTACCACAAAGCCGTTTTTCTGCCTGTAACAAGAATATACTCCTTATTAACAAGAAACTTCATTTGTCCATAATTGTAATCATTTGTCTATAGAAGTCTCCGTACTATGCTACCCATTCTACTGGGTCCAGCGTGCGATTCAGCGCAATACACGTAAAAGAGATTTTTTGTCTCACACACTGGATCCAACAGGATAGATGGACACCTAGCCTTGTAACGCCCAACTTCATTTAGTGCTAATCATGTCTTATAACCCAAGGTCCTTTTTTAAATCCTAAATTTTTACTGTCGTTCAGACCCAAACTTTCCCAAATATATTAAGGTGCTTAGGGTTGTGCAATATAGATGAAATTTCTTTGGCAGCTTATTAGGATCCTAAAGGCCATTTTTGAACAACAAATAGGATCAAAATTCAATTCGCAAAAAAAGTACTTTGGGTATAAAAGGCAATACACATGTCATTTTATTTAATACGTATAAAAGTACTTTGGGCGTTAAATGCAAACATAATTATGTTTCAGTACGTTGAAAAGGGTGTAGAGTCGAAGTAAGTAGCACACAAAAACCAGTTTTTGTAGTAAATGAAACTTTAATTAATTGATTAGAATCTACTCAGGAACATAAAACTTTCTTTTTATAGTAAAAGAATTTCGTCAGAAAAAAAAATCTTCAAAATTCAATATCGTTTATTCAGTCTACACTGTTACAAGCACTTGTGAATGTCGAAAAGCTACGCCATCGGTTCGCAAATCTACGGCGGGAGACCTTGTACTGAGAAGAACCGGCAAGAAACTCTGCAAGGGCTGTTTTTTCTCCCTGTATTATATAAAAGAAATTAAATAGCAACCCATAATAAAAATAATGTCCACTTATGGTTAAAAACAAATTTTGAATTTGATAAACCATTAAGCAAAATGAAAATAATAATTACTCTCTTTCCATAATCAGTCTTCTATACTTGGATATCAAATAGCTAATTAAAATAAAAATAATGCGAAAATTTAAAAAATATTTTGTTATATTATCCTTAGTAACACACAGGTGTAACTGAATTGTGGAACTTTCTTTGCAATTCCTCGCCAGCGGCATCAAATGGATGAAACTCGATATTAGTCTTTTAGCAACTTGCCGATATCCTGATCTCTCAAAACTAAAAAAAACAGGCAGTAACTGCGGTAGATATTGCAATTTACAATAAGAAAACTACTACAACTAAGTATCAATTACTTTAGGTACTAATAAAACTAAGTATCAATTACTTTAGGTATTAAATATCGTTAATCTATTGGAGTAAATAATAAAAGAACGTTTTCAAACAATGAGTCATACAATTATTAATAAAATTGTAATAAATTATCGCTTTTAAATTAATAGATTATAGAAATATTTTACGATTAGTTACGTAGTCTCCGTTTGTGTGCCAAGTCGTCAAACTTTGTTAAATGACTTTGACAGTTGTTTTTTTTTAATCCACCCCAACTCGCGCCCATAGATAGCAGCCATCCCAATACATGTATTTTTATGTTGGTTATACTCAGAGCGGCAAATTTAAATCCATAGTATCACCAAAACGATTTAATCGTTAAAAAAGGACCGTGGGCGTTTAGGAGTATGAGTCTGTATGAATTGTTGGGCCTGCAGGCTATGTTTGTTTTAGTATTTTATTAAGGACCGCGGGCGTTACGAGGCTAGAGCACTAGACGACCACGTCCATGATCAGTGGCCGGAGTGACGAGCCGGCCTATTCGCTAACTTTTTTGAGATTTCCAGTGTATAACTAAAGAGATAATTGCATATTCATCGATGCTTTTCGGAACAAGTAACTTAGTGGATCTTTTAAAAAAGAAATAATATTTGTACTGAAAACAATACCGAAGAAATAAGAAGTTATAATTGCAGGTGACACGAACATAAATATCTTGGAAAACAGCGCAATTGTTGAGAAATATAAAAACGAGTTGTGTGATTGGGGATTGCAAAGCGTTATCAATGAGTGCACACGGGAGGAGATACTCGCCGGGCGGACTGTGGCGTCCTGCATTGATCGCGTGTGGGTACGCACCTGCAGTGATCATCGGATCTCTGCACATATGTTGTTGTGTAAAATATCAGATCATTACTTAGTGGGTGTATCATTAACACAACATGCAAAAATAGTTAGCCGAATAATGGTAAGTTTAACAATATATTTAATTACAAATGAATATGTAATGAATTAGAAAATATTGTCTGGTCGCAAATTTTAGAGCTAAATTGTCCGTTATTGATGTATGGGAGGGTATGTAGTATTTCCGAGTCTATTTATGAAAAGACTAGAATAACTGTAAATCATAGAAAAAAAAACTTGTACAACCTGTGATAGATCAACACGTGAGAAGTTATCCTTCTTTGGCATCGTTTAAAATTAGTTTTTAATTGCATGCAAATAATTAATTACAATAAATTAATAAAAAGTCTGGAAAAGGACACAGTCAATAAAGTTCAGTTTTAATTTGAAAAAATAAATAAATAATCAAAATATTCAATTAAAATCGCTACTGAATATAATTTATTAGAACATATGTGATTTGCACTTGTATGAAACTCAAACACGTATTCCGGTTCTACTACACCAATGGTCAAGAGATGGCGCTCTAGTCTCCTGAATCGCGCTTTGGTTCCGTTGTTCCAGATTAATAAATACTTTTTGTTACTTTATTACAAAAAATAAAGATGTGGTTTTTGGTTCTACTACACCAATAGTCAAGAGATGGCGCTGTAGTCTCCTGAATCGCGCTTTGGTTCCGTTGTTCCAGAATAATAAATACTTTTGATAGGCCTTCACAATGCAGTCGTTAGCACCCACTAAATAGAGATTCTATTTCTATTTTGTTGGTAGATTTTCTTAATGTGCGGTAAACCCAAAAGTAACGCATGGAGTTGGTCGCTAAAGCGACCAACTTCATGCTGTTAAAATTTTGTGTTACAGTGATGCGCGCGCATCTTAAAATTTCACTCTCATAATTTTTTCATAACGCGCCCAAAGAAGTATAACTTCAAAAATGTGAGGGGGATTTTAGAAAAATATAGGGAAAGATAAATCGTTGGTTAGGAAAAGATTCAAGCAATTAAGACAGTGTTGTGATGAAGTACCTGGGGAAAAAACACAGTTTGGATGACATGTGTGCTAACTTTGCTATGACGTTTATAGGTGAAATAAATAAAACGCAGATGTAATACGACCTTTTGAAAACGAGAAACCATTACATTGGTTTCTCGTTTTCCGAGTAATGTAACTTTTTATTTAATAAGTATAGTTAAAATTAAATCACTATGGAATCAAATTCCAGAGTTCAAACTGTAGAGGTAAACGGTATTAAGCACAGACATAGATAGTATAGATAACGCAAGTTCATCAAATTGTATGAAAACCACGCGTGCCACATTTTTAGTACCTACTGTGACGTCACAAGAGCATTTTAGTGATGGGAATTCTTCGTCCGCGTGTAACGATTCAAAGGCACCAGCCGCGGCGAGTTGTGCGCCAGTACGCCGCTAGTCCTTGAAGGGAGAAGTCGCGCGTGTTAGCATTGGCATTAATAATTAATTTTATAAACACTTTGAAACTTATATAAAGCAATAAAAGCAAATTGAATGGAAATAAAACTATTCAATAGATTCAGATTTCTTTATTTTATAAGGGAAATCACTACTTTCAAAATTATTAAATGTTTAAAGTACACTATTTATTGATTATTAAAATTAAAATACCAAAACAAAGTATAAAATCTTTACTCGCAAATAATCTCTTATTTTAATTTTTAAGATTACAGAAGTAATTTCTATTGTAAATGGCAAAGATATATTATTGTATATTATTTTTAGATATTAGGTAGTTTTAAGCTTTTTGTAATTGTAAACTCATACATTTTATTAATCTAAATAAATTTCCTTATTAGATTATGACTTACAATATTATACAAATATAATTCCGATAAAAGTTATAAACAACAATATGAAAATGATAACTTAACTCAGAGCTCCGCTCGGTCCGATGGCTCGATACAGAATCGCCCCGCAAAGGTTGAAGCTCGGCCTTTTAAAGGCAGCGACAAACAACTAACGTCATCGGGCCGTTCAGAACACGTGTACAAAGATTTCGCTGACTACCCGCAATTTATGAAATATTCTATTAAATTATGTAATTTAGTGCTAGCAATAGATTTTCACAGTATGTTATATAAAACCTTCATTACAAAAATCAAGTACGAGTATTGAAGCAGCAATAACATCACTGAATCAACCATTTTTAAGTGTACAATAATTATACAGCCGCCTCGATGTTTTGTTTTTAGCTTGTTAATGACCTTATGTGTATATTATCTAACACGGCCATTCTGACATGTACTTCGTTCTCGAAGTACACTTTGAAATAATGTGATCACTTTAAAAATTGTTTTACTGGGTAACTTTATTTAAATAAGATCTAGCGATCAACTCAGCTTGTTTATGACCTTATGTCACAGGCATAGTCACAGTCACAGTCATGGTCACAGTCATAGTCACATTCAATTGTATAAAAGCATATATTTATCATAGTCTCTGGCCTTGGCATACTAGTCCTATCACCTGCTGCGCATGAATTTCAGACTAGCATCGGGGCAGTGACTGACCAGCAGTATACAAATATATATCATAGTCTCTGGCCTTGACATACTAGTCCTATCACCTGCTGCGCATGAATTTCAGACTAGCATCGGGGCAGTGACTGACCAGCAGTATACAAATATATATCATAGTCTCTGGCCTTGACATACTAGTCCTATCACCTGCTGCGCATGAATTCCAGACTAGCATCGGGGCAGTGACTGACCAGCAGTATACAAATATATATCATAGTCTCTGGCCTTGACATACTAGTCCTATCACCTGCTGCGCATGAATTCCAGACTAGCATCGGGGCAGTGACTGACCAGCAGTATACAAATATATATCATAGTCTCTGGCCTTGACATACTAGTCCTATCACCTGCTGCGCAT